TGAAGAAGTTCACATGAAGAAGTTCACATGAAGATGTTCACATGAAGAAGTTCACATGAAGAAGTTCACATGAAGAAGTTCACATGAAGATGTTCTTGGGTCAGAACATAGTTCTGGCAAACAGGGTTGTATGCTGCTTCTTCTAGGTGAACTCCTAGTGGGAAGAACAAGCAGTGAGGGCCATGCTGCAGGCCTGGCAGAGTCGTAGTGGGCTTGGGTTTCTCTGGGGCCTAGGACTTGGTCAGCAATAAGAGAGTGGGATGCCCCTGAGAGCAACAGTGACCTGTTTCTGTGATGGGGACTTAAGGGATTGACCAGTCTGTGTCCAGTGACCGCTTCTTTACTTTGTGTTCTAGGTTGAATCCTAAGAATGTCCACCAGAGGCCTACAGTAGCCCTGCTGTGTGGGCCCCATGTGAAGGGAGCTCAGGGTATCAGTTGTGGGAGGCACCTAGCCAACCATGATGTGCAAGTCATCCTCTTCCTGCCCAACTTTGTCAAGATGCTGGAATCTATCACCAATGAACTGTCTCTCTTCAGCAAGACCCAAGGTCAACAAGTGTCTAGCCTAAAAGGTGAGCATCAGCATTGGAGTGTAGCTCAAGGGTAGAATATTTGCTTTCTGTGTAAAGACCTAGGTTCATTTAAAAAAAAAAAAAAAAGTGCCCTCTAAGTATTGACCAAGGTTTCCTGCTTCCTTGGTAGTATGACAGTCTGGTGGTGCCATCTGGTGGTGCCAAGTAGAAAGGCATCACATGGATAGAATTTTCTGCATTAGTTCTATATGGTGGTGACCCACACCTAAAATCTCAGCCCTCAGGGCATGGGGACAGAAGGTTCTTGAGTTTAAGGCCAGTCAGGACTACATAGTGAGAATCTATCTGGGGGAAATACATGTGTATGTATTTACACATGCACACAGAATTTCTGCTTCTAAGGGGTCTTTAAATTACCTAGAGGAAATAGCCCATGCCCCACCTTTTTCCTGCCACTCAGAGAGATCTGGATACCCACTAACTCATTCCATAAATATTTATGGGACAGGTACTTTTTCCCATTTATGGGAATAAATGTGGTAATGATTTTTTTAATCCATTTTCCCAGCTGAGTGTGGTGGTGCATGGCTTTATTCCCAGTACTTGGAGGGCAGAGACAGGCGGATCTCTTTGATCTCAAGGCCATCCTGGTCTACATATCAAGTTTCAGGGGTACATAGTAAGACCCTGTCTCAAAGAAATAAAATAAGTTACCCATGATGTGATGCACAATGTGGTTAGGAGAGATGAACAGACAAGTAAGTAGCATTAGGTCAGCTAGTATTAAATGTTACAGAGTAAAATGCAGCTGGAGGGACAGTGTTCTAGAAGACTTGGAGCAGAGTGTTTCTGAGTTGGGTCATGAAGGATCTTAGAGGTCACCACAAGGGTTTGAGCTTTGACTCCAGGTGGGATGGGGAGTCATGTTTCTTAGTAGACAGAATCTCACCATATATCCATGGCTGACTCTGTAGATCAGGCTACCCTCAACCCATAGGCTCAAACCTGCTTCTTATCTAGCTCAGCTCCTAGACAAGCATCTGGGCTTTGAGCGGGTGATTGGGGTACAGAAGAGTTCTAAGCTGGTCTTGGTTTTTTTTTTTTTTTTTTTTGGTTTTTCAAGACAGGGTTTCTCTGTGTAGTTTTGCGCCTTTCCTGGTACTCACTTTGTAGACCAGGCTGGCCTTGAACTCACAGAGATTCGCCTGGCTCTGCCTCCCGAGTGCAGGGATTAAAGGCATGCACTACCACCGCCCGGCTAAGTTGGTCTTGTGAGAATTAGGGGTAGCTGATAGTTGAGACCCAACCTATGGTAGAGGTGGTGGAAAGTGGTTAGCTTCTGAATTGTTTGTGAGGTTAGCATCTGCTTACTAGAAAGAAGCAAGAGAAGATATAGAATGACTCCAGTGAGCAGCTCAGAAGGCCGAGCTGGCAGAGATCTCAGTTTAGAGACCAACCTGAGCTTGTCAGTAACATTAGAAAAAGGAAAAAACAAACAAACGAACAAAAACACAAAAAAATGATGGGTTGGAGAAATGGCTCTTTGGTTAAAAGCAATTGCTCTGCTTGCTGAGGGCCTGGACTCAATTCCCAGCACCACATGGCAGCTCAAAAACCCTGTAGCTCCAGCTCTAGGGTATCTGACACCCTTTTCTGGCCTCCACATATGTCATTCACATTCATACAGACACTTAAAATAATAGATGAGAGAGAGAGAGAGAGAGAGAGAGAGAGAGAGAGAGAGAGAGAGAGAGGGAGGAGAGAGAGAGAGAGAGAGAGAGAGAGAGAGAGAGAGAGAGAGAGAGAGAGAGAGAGAGAGAGAACGCTCTAAATTTTTTGGCCTGAGTAACTGCCTCTGAAGTGGGACTTGACAGAGAAAACACCTCAGGTTAGATGTTCATTGAGCATTCAGAGGTTGGAACTGATGCTGCTTATGCAGGAAATTTTGTGGTTCTGGAGTAAAAGGAAGGATCCAGCCTGGAGTTTAGGTAATGAGGGGGTATGGAAGCTGAGATTAGCCAGGAAAAGGCAAGAAGGGCAGAGGACTGAGTTATTTAATTCTGAAGTCAAGAAGGGCAGGAGCGGTCAGGGGGGAGAAGGAGGTGCAGTGGCCTGTGTATCTGAAAGCCAGGTGGAAGAAAGAGCTCTGAGTTAACACAGGAAGACTGAGAATTAGATTCAGCAGTGCGGAGACCTGGCACACTTAGTGAGCACAGTTTTGGTGTAGGAACAATGTCAGACTGTAGTGAGATTTAAGTGAGGATGGGGTAAGAGTTGGACCAAAGATGGTCCAAGAAGGAAAGACCTTGCCAGAGGACACATGACAAGTCAGGAGGAACCTAGACCAGAACCACAAGCTCCTGTGTACACATAAAGGGGTCCATTCTTAATCTCTTGAGCCATTCATGGCCCACAGGAACTTTATACGGATGCATTGTAAGTCGGGAAGCTGTGGATCTCTAATTGAGCAATGTTAACTGTAGGCTGAGTGCTAGGATGAATGCTGGGAATGGATCGCAATCTCGAACGTAGTGTCAAGTTCCAGGCAGTCCTCCTTCTAGCTAGCTGAAAAGCTTCCTATGGCAGATGCTTCAGGAGGCTGGCCTGCAGATAATGACCCTGCAGTTTAGGCTTGTCTCTGCTCCTGTCAGGTTGATTTCTTAGGTTAATCCAAGATTGGCATACATGCTGAGACTTCCTGTTCTTATACTGTTACAAGTCTATAGGCTAATCAAGAGCAGAGGAGTCTTTTTTTTTTTTAATTACATTTTACTTAAGTTTGTAGGTGTGCACATGCTATGGCATGTGAGTGGAGGTCTAGAGGATAACTTAAGTAAGGAGTCAGTTCTCTCCTTCCACCATGTGGGTCCTGGGGATCAAACTCAGGTTATTGGGCTTGGCAGCAAGTGCTTTTACCAAGCATTGAACTATCTCACTGGCTGTTAGAGAAGCCCTTTAAAAAGGATAACAGAGATCGTTTTTTCCCCTGTTCCTAAGTTTGGGCTGAGTAGAGGACCCATTTACATGAGGAATTCCCAGAGAGGGGCAGGCCAGCCTTTTGAGTAGAAACACCTATTGCCAGCCAGACAATGGACCCCGAGAGCACCCCTGAAAAGGCTGATTCTGCTTTCCCAGAACTTGTAACAAACATCATGAGGTTAGTCAGATATAAAGCCCTGTCTGCAAGGCAGAGGAGGTAGGGGCTTATGCCCTTTAGAAGGCTGGCCTTTGGAGAGGCATTAGAGTGGTACTAACTAGAAAACCAGATGTTCATAGAGCCACCGAAGCCCTGGTCTGGCCTGCTTCAGAAACTTTCTCATGTATTCTTTCCATCTACAGATCTCCCTACCAGCCCTGTGGACCTGGTTATCAACTGCCTGGATTGCCCGGAGAATGCCTTCCTGCGGGATCAGCCCTGGTACAAGGCAGCTGTGGCCTGGGCCAACCAGAACCGGGCACCAGTGCTCAGTATAGACCCTCCTGTGCATGAAGTTGAACAAGGCATCGATGCCAAATGGTCCCTGGCACTGGGCCTGCCTCTGCCACTGGGGGAGCACGCGGGCCGAGTCTATTTGTGTGACATTGGCATTCCCCAGCAGGTCTTCCAGGAGGTCGGCATCAACTACCACTCACCCTTTGGCTGCAAGTTTGTCATTCCCCTGCACTCTGCCTAGAGGGGCTCTGGGCAGCTGGGCCCTGTGTTCCCCTGCACTCCTGCCGCCAAACCCAACAACGGACGCCTTAAGGATGTGAAGCTTTGTGGACCTTGTAGATTATCTTTTGGGTTTGTTTCTTCTGTGAGAGAACAGAACATACTTAAAATTAAAATTTGCCTGCCACCTTCCCTTAATCAGGGAAGGCTTTCCCACTGGTGTGCATGTCAGGAGTAGCCCAGTGGCTCCAGGCATCTTTCTATCCTACCATGCCTCCATTCAAGTGGGGCTTTGTTTACAGACATAGGCAGCTCTAAGACTGGTTCAGGTTTATAGCCACTGGGCATGGGCCAGGGCCTATTGGGGCCTCCACCCACATTATTTCAGAAGGCTTTGTCTTTCCCATGCTTCCTCTGGCCTGCAGCCCGCCAGTTCACCCTTCCTCTAATCATGTAGATCAGGCTGCACAGCAGCTTTCCAGAAGGCAGATCTGTGCTCTCTTTAGATCCTGAGAGTGCGTCTCTACTCTCCCCAGTGCCACCCGTGTGTGTTTGGAAGCTTTGGGTCCTCCTGAGATATCCTGGTTTTTATGTTGGAACTTTTCCTGGGGAGTGATTGGGGTGACGACTGTGGTGAGATTCTGGGCTGGCTGCTTTGCTGTCATCTTTAACATAGGTTTTGTGCCTGTCAAGCTACAGGTCCCACCTCCTAGTTATGGGCCAGACTTCGCCGTGCAGCTTTTCAGTATTGGGGAGACCCTGGGGGAGTTTGGTGCTGAGCCAGAGGTGGCTTCTTGGTGCTTCTGTCCTAGGCCATCACTTCCTACCTCCTTGCCCATAAATAATATTCCTTGTTTCCCTTTCTGCCTGTCTCTGGAAATGGTCCTCTGCAGTTACCCTGGGACAGGTTACATGCCCCTCCTTATGCCATGGTGTCACTCCAGTTCTTATGTCTGGGCTTTTTATCCCTTTATAGTTGCCCTTCCCAGGAGTGTGCAGACTTGGGACTAGTGGCCTGTCTCAAACATGCCAAAAATGAGCCCGGTTCCGGATGACCCTGTTGGTGGGCTAGGGTATTAGGGTATTATCCTAAGGATCTTCCTGGACTTGGGTCCTACAGACTAGTAGGATAGGACCATGCCTGGAGCCTTAGACTGGAGACTTTTACAAAGGATTTGTACTTTGAAGCTCTCCCCCTGCAGGCTTTTTTCTGCTCTGCCCATCACTGGTTGGTGGACAGGCAGATGGGCTCGTTAAGTTTGGGTACAGGGTAGAAACCCTGGTACCGTAGATTTCAGGCTATCTCTTATAGGAACATGGCCCCAACAGATGATAGCCTTTCCTTTTCTTCCATCTTCTCTCTCCAGCTGCAGGAAAGAGGCCAGAGGACTGGGAGCCTCAGCTGCACGCTTCAAGACTAACTTTCCAGCTGGGCCTCTTCTCTGAACACAGGGTTACAGTTGGCACAGTAGGCAGCCACTACAGGTTACTAGACACAGGCTACTATAAAATGAGGTAGAACCCTAGTCCTGAAGATGGCTAGCTAGCATCAGGAAGTTCTGGTGACCCTAGAGGTGATACTTTAAGACTCCTCCCCCTCTTCTCCCTGCCCTTGACCTAAACCCCCCGCTTGAGTTATTGAAACTGTGTTACTCCTACCTGCAGCTCTTTTTGGAAGTTCTGCCTAATGGCTGGTTTCAGTCAGGTGGTCAGATCTAACAGTAACTCGTGCAGCTCTTGGGAAACCCAAAGCCAGCACCACAATAAAGTGCGAGTTCTGTGCTATCTGAACTGCTTTGTAGAGTATGAAGAGGTGATTTCCGCAATCACCATGACTGTTGGATATGTGCATAGTGACACAATGGCTAAGGCAAACCAGATTCTTCTTGACTGGCTATAGTACGCTATGTGTACCCTTAGGACTGAAAGATGTAAGAGCCTTCTAGGTCTGGCAAGTGTGCTACCTTATCCCTATCCTGGTGCCAAAACTGTTCTACATAACCTGAGCAGTGGTTATCAACTTTCCAAATGCTGACCCTTTAATACGGTTCCTTGTATTGTGGCAAGCCCCAACCATAAAATTATTTTCATTGCTACTTCATAATAGTTTGCTACTGATGAATCATAAATATCTGTGTTTAGGTGACCTCTGTGAAAGGGTCACTGGACCCCCGAGTTGAGAATTGCTGCCCTAGAGGATGTCGCAGCTTCTGGCTTCCTCTTGGCTTGTCTTTCTGTGTCTGGTCCAATCCACACTTAGCTTTCCACAAGCTGAGCTGCTAAGAAAGACTTTATTAATAAGGTCAGTCAGAAAAGGGAGAAGGCAAGGAGCCTGGAGATGGACACACTGGTACCAGGGGGTTACAAACAGTAAGAAACACTTTATTATAACTTTACAACATATAAATAGCTTGGGTCCAATCTGTGCTTTCTGGCAGCTGGGCACCACATCCCCCCCGTCCCTTGCAGGCTCCTGCCTTCCTTCACATTGCACTGTTCATTGGTGGCTCTGGCTCTGAGGCCAGTGGGAGAGGCTGGAGAAAAGGGGCCAGCAGCCCAGTCCAGCTCTCCAACTCCTCGTGTGCTGGCCTGCACCTGTCATCTGCTGGGGTTACGGCTGCTGTGGAAGGACCGCTCCTCAGGGGTCAGGCCAGCAAAGAAGGGATGCAGCAAGGCTTCTGCCAGTGTGATGCGCTGAGCAGGGTCGAACTCTAACATCCTCCTCATCAGGTCAAACAGCTGCACATGCTCCAGGGAGTCCTGGAGCATGTAACTCTGCTCAAGGACACAAGGTGCCTCAGTGTGACGGCAGGGTTGTGGGAAGCCACCGCAGTCCCCTTGCCTCTGGGATGCCTTGCTGGGATGGGTCGAGGAGGCAATGATACCTCCTTGGAGAACTACTTCTGCCCTCCAGGACAGAACAGCTCCTTTCCTTTCATGCTCAGAACTTAGGCTACCGGGTGGGATCTTGCTGGGTTGGTGCTTCTACCCCACATGCAAAGTTCTGATGGGTGGGTAGAAATCACCTCTGCGAAATGCACTTGTCCAGGTGCCAAATAACAGTTGACAGGCCTCCTTCCTGGCCACTCTAGGTTTTCCCTCCCCCTTGCCTCAGTCCTGCCTAGTTCTTCCCAAAATTCAGAGGGGAGAGAGGGACAGGAAGCAGCAGTCTGACAGCTGGCTCTTGTGGTGTGTTTCCCCATTACATTCTCAGCCCCGTGTGGGAAGTGGCATGGCTAAGGGCCCCTCGGGCAGCTTGCAGAAAGCCTCACTGCGAGTCCCCAGTGGTCTCGGGGGCTGCCTCACAGAGAACTGGGATGATCAGGCAGCTGCTGGCTGCCCGTCCTGCCTCTGCTGCTTGTTTGCCCAATGCCTGGGGTCTCCTTGGCATGAGCTGAGCTAGGGGAGCCAGAAACTGACCTTCAGAGGTTTGCAGTTCTCCTTCACATACCGCCCATCAGAGCTGTTCTCATCCCAAACCAGGCCCCCTTTGTAGAAATACTTCTGCTTCCTGGAAAGTCGAGGAGAAAGGGGAGTCAAGGAGTGGGAGCCCTCAGGGTCTGGGCTCACGTGGGAGGTAGGAAAAAGTGGTTCCTGGCAGTCTTCTGGTGCAACAGGGCAAAAAAGGAGGCCTGGGCCTGACCCTACAAAGGGCAGTAGGGGCAACAGCTTTCACCAGACTGGTTCAAGGGACATACAGGAAAGGCTATGAGGAGCTCGGGGAACCACAGAATACTTGGCAAAGGCTGTATCTCTGGTACCCAGCTGACCCAGAGCCATGGAGACTTCTTACCTGGTACGGTGGATCATGTGTGATGGGATGGGCCCTAGGATCTTCTCCATCATAACCAAGTGTTCTCTGTTTTCATGGGTCTGCAGAAGACCAGGGACAGAGCAAGTAGGAATTAGGCCCAACCTTGGCCCACTTTGGAAGAATAAAGGGTGAGGAAAGATAGGCCAAGAGCTCTCCCTGCTCTAAGAAAGGAAAACTGTCTCAACCTAACCTGGTGGCAGCCCACAGCCCTGGAACCAGGGCCAGGCTCCTGCTCTCTGGCCCCATAGGTAGACCTGGCTCACTGATAGCACACCAGGTTGGTTCTTCATGCCACAGGATGCCCATGATATGCTCTTGCCCAGACAGATCTTTGTACCCAGTCTTAACCTTGATGAAATCCTCCCTACCTGCTTTAGACTCTTCAACTGATTCCTTCCCTGGGCAACTATAACCCTTAAGAATCTATTTTGGGGGCTGGAGTGATGGCTCAGTGGTTAAGAGCACCAACTGCTCTACCAGAGGACCTGGGTTCAATTCCCAGCACCCACATGGCAGCTAACAACTGTAACTCTAAGATCTGACACCCTCACACAGACATACATGCATACACCAATGCACATAAAATAAAGATAAATAAATTGTTTAAAAAAGTCTATTTTCACATGGTACTATACCTGGAAGAGTGTAAAGCCACGGTAGTACTCGAAGAGAATGCAGCCAATACTCCAGACATCACAGGGCTGTGCCCAGCCCAGCTCTGTAAGCCAAGATGGTAAGATAATGAGATCCAGCACCCCGCATTCCCAGGAAGCTGCCACTCTCACTGGCACAGCTCTTGCCCAAGCCCCACTAACAAGGCTGTTTTTGACTAAGACCAAGTCTCAGGTATTGTCCAGTTCTGGGTGGCAGTCTGATGGGTCAAAGTCCTCACTTTGAGACGGTCTTGTGTAGCCCAAGGCTGGCCTTAAACTAATCTTTTCTGCCTTCTAAGGACTTGTATTACAGGTGTGTGCCACCAGATCCAGCTATTTATTTTGACAACTGCCCAGTGTAAACAATATATTGGAGGCTATGAAGCCACTCACCAAGGATCACCTCAGGTGGGCGATAGTGACGGGTGGCCACAATGGTGGTATGATGTTCGTGGTCAAATGTGGCACTGCCAAAATCTGCCACTCGGATGCTGGTGTTCTTCACTGACTTCTCCTCGCAGCTCTGAAGGCAAGGCAGGCCAGCTAGGTCAGTCTGCCCAGGTAGGTGACCTACCTTGGAGCAGGGCCACACTCTTGCCCACCCAGTCAGTGCTCTACCTTGTGCTCATTGTAGAGGGTTTCAAACTCAGAATTCACAAACAAGATGTTCTCTGGCTTCAAGTCTGTGTGGGTCAGCTGGTTCTCATGTAGAACTAGGGGATGAATAAGCACATATTGAGACCCTAGGCTTGCCCACCAGCTCTTAGCCAGAACTGCTCACACACAACCTCAGCAGGGAGCTGGCTCTAGCCCTTCTCAGCTTAAGAGCTTTGAAAGGCTTCCTCATAAGTCTTAACAGGAAGGGAAGAAATGCTTTCTATCAAAAAATCCCTCTACCACTCTCTACAGAGGCAGAGCCTTCCCATCTCACTGAAGCTGCAGCATTAGTGACACTGGCTATATAACAAGGCTCACTGTACCAAAGGTGTGACTGTTGGATCATATGCCTATGAAGCCATCCCTGAGCAGGAAAGCCTGCACCCAATCTCTTTCACTGGCGCTTTCTACTAATTTCTTTTCAACCTCCATGTTCCCATTTGGCCTGTAAGATCCTCACAACTCCATGACCCTCTCTGAGCCATACTTCCATTCCCTCTCCACTAGACTGAGTCAACACAGCCTAAACCTTTGCAGAACTGTGCCCCTTGGTTCTTTTTCCCCATCACCTACTCAGGCTCCGCACATCTTAGCTCTAGGCCTTTCACTTGTCACTTTCCAAGTTGTCTTTCTACGTAAGTCCTACAGTGCACTGAGCAATGCTTCCCTCAAAGCTGCTATTCAAGGTTGGTGGATAGGTGAGTGACAGAGTTTGGGTAGCAGGACCTGAGAGCCTATCAGGTCCACCTTCTACCTTTTCCTCTTTTCTGTGAAGGTGAAGGTAGAGTCAGTAGCTAGGCAACTTCTAGAGTACTTTCCTGTTTTCTTCCTAAGCACTTGGGGAAGAGGCTGGCACATGCAGTCCCTGCATCATCCTCACACTGAGACTCCTACCTGAAGACAGAAGGACCTTTCAGCCAAGGCCCCTAGGCCCAAGAGACCTTGCAGAACAATCAACACTGTGCTAGAGGAAATGGAGGGTGGCAAGACCACTAGGTGATTGTGTTTTGAGGGCAAGATACTCCATGCTCCAACCAACAATGGGCACTTACATCTAAGGGCATGGCAGAGTTGGTAGGCCATGTGCCGGACATGTGGTAGGGGGTAAGGCTGGAAGTTGTTCTCCTTCAGGAACTCAAAGGTGTTCTTGCCCAGGAGCTCAAAGGCGATGCACATATGACCATGGAAGTTGAACCAGTCAGACATCAGGACACACAGGCTAGAAGAAAAGGACAGGTGGAGTTCAAGCACTGCCTCACCTGACTCCCAGGATAAGACCATTGTTTTGCATACCAAGATACAATGCAGGCCTCAGAGCCAGAGCCCATGTCTCAATCCACTATCACACAGATGAGGTCTGAGCGAGAACTGTACTTCCTGTTGTGTGGAGGGAGCTCACCCATGGCTGGGACGGTAAGCAGCCCTGCCACAGTTACTGAGATAGAATTACGCCAGTATAGCACAGGCCTCCAGGTACTGCTGAGCTTCTTGAGGGCCTGGCTAGGTACATCCTCTCTGTTGAGTGTAGCACAGTGAAGTGCTTGAGAGGTTGACTGGTATCTAACTACCAAAGAAAAGCTCTCTTTAAGTGTCCAAACAAGTCACAAATCTGAGCGGTCCCCAACTCATAAATGCAGGGCTAGTGAGCTAGAGAAATGGCCCAGAAGTTAAGAGCACTGGCAGCTCTTCCAGAGGTCCTGAGTTCAATTCCCAGCCACCACATGATGGCTCACAGCCATCTGTAATGAGATATGATGCCCTCTTCTGGCCAGCAGGCATATCTACAGGCAGAACACTGTATACATAATAAATTAATTTAAAAAATAAAAAAATAAAAAAAATTTGAGGACTGGGACTACTTCAGAACACAAAGCCAGACAGGGTAGAGCCTGAAGTCCAAGAGTTCTTTCCAGAAAGAACCCATCACACTCCCCTGACTGAGTGTTGTGAGAAAGCAGTACCAAACTCCTGTAGGAC